TTGCATTGTTTTTTAATTCGGATTCGCCATCTTGATTTCAGGAATCTGATTACGGATTCGTAATCAACGACCTTGCATGAGAACTCCCAGATATACATTTTCATAAAATTTGCATCGTTTTTCGAATTCGGATCCGCCATATTGGATCCGCCATCTTGAATTTCAGGAATCTGATTACGGATTCGTAATCAGCGACTCCGAGAACCCCCAGATATACATTTTCATAAAATTTGTATCGTTTTTTGAATTCGGGTTTGCCATATTGAATCCACTATTTTGAACTTATAAATTTTGACCTCAGAATTGTAATCAGCAATCTCGAAAATTCTCGAGTACCAATTTTCAAGTCAATCGTAGGTAAGGAAAAATGTATGCTTGAAAGGGTTAATATAAATCTTTCATTTCTGTTGGTGAAAGATTTGATCTTGCTAAAAGTTCATTGAACATAAGTTTCATGAGAGTCATTAAATGTTTGACTAATATATCAGGCCAAATTATTTTATGGCCAAGAGGCCCAGAACTTGAGAGAGTAAAAGCAAATTTCAACAAGAATTCATCATTGCGAGACATTATTGGTACTATTGATGGTAAATATATATTCCTATAAAAGCTCCTAAAGTATGTAATTATGTTATTAGTACCCATTGTAATTGTAATATTGTTGTAAATACTTGGAAATAGAAAAAGGAAGGAAAAATATTAGTCTTGTATTTTTTTAAAATTTAGATTGATTCCCAATATTATAAAACCTATAAAAAACGTACGCCATAATTTTGCAAGCAGTCTGTGATGCTTGTATGAAATTCACTGACTGCTTTGCAGGATATGCGGGTTCAGTTGGAGATTTAAGTCTTCAGAAATTCTGATTTATGGCGAGAAGTTCAAATAGATAAACAATCTTTTTTTCCTAATGATGAATTTATTATTGGCGACAAGATATATCCTGTCTTAACGTGGTGTATTCCCCCATATATCGATCGTGGTCAACTTACAGATGTAAATAATTTTATTTACTTTATATTTTTCTTGTATAATTTATTTAAATACGTACATTTTGTGATATTTTCTTTTTAGGCACAGACCGAATTTAATACCGTTCTTTCATCAAAACGGTCAGTGATTGAACGTGCATTTGCACTACTAAAAGGTAGATTTTGTAGACTGAAGTTTCTTGACATGAACGTAGACGAAATGATCCCCTTTGTTATAATAGCTTGCACAGTATTGCATAATATATACCTGGATGATATTAATGAAAATGTAAAAGATTTCATTGATGAAGGTATAGAAATGGAAGTTGAGGAGATTTACGATGGAAATATACCTGATGAAGAGGCAGGAAAAGTAAAACGTGACTACTTGTGTGCACTTGCCGCTGAAGCTTAATTAATATTAACACATAATTTTTTTTCTAATTTTTAAAAATAAAAATTTCTATTTTATACCGTAAAAAGTATATTTTATATAGCATAAGGTATAATAATAGTAATACATATTGAAATAAGTATAATCAATATATTATAATTATAAAATTCAAATATAAGAAAAACATTATTTAGATATTTTTTTATTTATTGAATTAAACCTTATACAGGGTCCATTATGAAAGTAATGCGCATGATTTTATTGTGACGCGACGATAGATGGCAGCGCGATAAAACCGGTCGGGAATGTGGTGGGGGATCTGCACTTTCAACAGTTTCAACGCAGCCGGTCGTCAGTTTGCTCCGAGCAGTGTGAACCGAAAGACGTGCCTCCGCGTGAAGTGTGTTTTCGATTTTTGTAACACGGCGCGATGGAGCGTTCGCTTGAACAACGATACGCCATAAAG